CATTTCATTCGAATTGCTGTCTGGAACTCAAATGGATTGAGTAATCATACTCAAGAAATTATACATTTTCTTAATCTTCAAAAAATAGATATTCTACTAGTCTCAGAAACCCACTTCACGTCGATGAGTTTTTTCAAGGTTCCAAATTACAACCTATACACAACTAATCATCCTGATGGAACAGCCCACGGCGGTAGTGCTGTGCTTATAAAATCAACAATTAAACACTATATGGCTCAGTCTTATGCGGAACATTTTTTACAAGCAACTAATGTAGTGATTGAAACTTCAATTGGAGCTTTATCTGTAAGTGCATTATACTGTCCACCAAGACATAACATTTCTCATGAAAAATTTAGTGAATTCTTTACATCTTTGGGACCAATATTTTTAGCTGGAGGAGATTATAACGCTAAACATTGTTCATGGGGTTCGAGATTAAGCAATCCAAGAGGTAAGCAACTTTATAAATCCATGGTTAACTGCAGACTTAAACACTTATCAACAGGTGAACCAACTTATTGGCCTGGAGACACTTCTAAAATTCCAGACCTTCTAGACTTCTGTATATTCAAGGGTATATTAGATGAACAATTAAAAGCTGAATCAAGTCTTGACTTATCTTCTGACCACACTCCAATTATTGTTACATTTAGCTCAAAGTTCAAATTGCAATCTAAAAGTCCATCATTAACAAATAAAAAAACTAATTGGGAATTATTTTCTAAATATATTGATGACAATTTATGCTGCAAAGTACCTCTAAAAAGTACAGATGATATCGATAATGCAATAGGTATTCTCAATAAAAATATTACTGATGCGGCTCGCTATTCTACACCCACAAATGATATTGTTGAGCGATTTTTCTGTCCACTCGAAGCTAAAAGACTCGAAGAAAAATATGAAAAGACCAACCTCCACGGTATCTCCAATTAGAAATGATGATGGTTCTTGGTCTAGATCAGCAGAAGACAAGGTTATTACCTTTGCAAATCACCTTGAAAAGGTCTTCACTCCTCATCCTTGTATTGTACCTAACGATCAATTTACCACAGATTACTTGAATGACGGTAATTTCACAGACGAACCCATTCCAAAAATTAAGTATTCTGAAGTGCTCTACGAGATTAGTAACACTAAATTGGGAAAAACTCCTGGTAATGATGCGATTACATTTGGTCTAATAAAACACCTTCCTGATAAAGGTAAGAGATTTTTAACTATATTATTTAATGCCATATTACGGCTGAAGTATTTTCCTTCATCGTGGAAATTGGCGAAAATAATCTTAATTCTCAAGCCTGGAAAAAATCCTACTGATGCAGTTTCCTACCGGCCCATTAGTCTTCTGTCTTGCCTCTCAAAAATTTTTGAAAAAGTTATTCACAAAAGAATCATAAACATTTTAGAAGATAAAAATGTTATGCCAAAACATCAATTTGGGTTCATTAGACAACACTCAACAGTAGAACAAATACATAGAGTTGTGGATTCCATTTATAAAGCCATTCACTTAAAAAAATATTGTTCAGCCCTTTTTCTTGACATCAGTCAGGCGTTTGATAAAGTTTGGCATAACGGCTTGTTGTACAAATTAAAGAAGAATTTACCATACAACTATTATCTCCTCCTAAAATCATATCTGTGTGATAGAAGGTTCTTTGTCAGTTTTAATGATGCTTCATCTAATGTTAAAAATATTTCTTCCGGAGTTCCCCAAGGTAGTGTTCTGGGCTGCTGCTTTACATTATATATACTGCTGATCATAGCTGGGCACCGTTAATCAAATAGTTAACTTCGTTAATCGTTAATCCGCTACAAAAAAAGTTAACTTCGTTAAACGTTAAAGCGTTACATTTCGAAAGAATTAACGCAAGTTAACGTTAATCGTTAATCCGTTAATATGTGTAAAATTACATTTTTATATCGTTGCGTTAGTGAACTTAAAAAACTTATTAGTTTAGGTTCTGGAAGTTAACAGGAATAAAACAAAATACTTGTATAATTCAAATGTGTAATTTAACCCCTCGCGCGTTTTATGCACACTTCCGTGTGTATAAGGAAAATGGCACAATTATCACATACCATGATAACGCTATTGGTCAACTTTCCGTTTTTATGATTGCATATTGCTTTTACAAGAATTTTTTTCTAAATAAAGGGAAAGAGTTTTTTTAACTTCCCGTAGGGCAAGTTATAGTAATCGCAAAAAAATCGAAAATGAAAATTTTTGCATTTCTCGACGTTTCAAAGGTTTCTGAATATTTTGGCATACCTTAGAAAAAATGGATGTATGTGTGTGTGTGTATGTATGTGTATTCGGATACAAATTTTCGTCGACGATTTCGGGAACACGGATCAACCGATTTGAATAATTCAAAAAACATTCGATTCGTATTGATAAGAAGACGTGCTGATTAGTTTTTGGCAAAGGCAGGTCTAGCCGTTCCGAAGATTTGGGGCAAAATTGAGCCAAAAACGGTAACTCAGTTTTTAAGAGAACGGAGCGTCCGATTTTAATAATTCAAAAAACATTTTACTTGTATTGACAATTATGAAGAACTGATCAATTTTTCATGAAGGCAGGTCTAGCGGTTTCGGAGATCTAATGAAAAAAGTAAAAAAAAATGCCATTTGGCGGTCAAAATGATCATTAGACATATGCACATCAAATTATCAGATATTTTATAGAGATTTTAACAATAAGTATAAATTTTATTTACATTCCTATGGGTTCCGTACCAATGTTTATCCTTTAGACAGCGACGCGGCGCTTACGCGCTTTATATTTTGTCTCTATGCAGTCCTAAAGCAGTAAAATTGCTTTGAAAAAAAGTTCAGATCTTCCAAAATATGTCAAAATAAAGAAAACATTTTTTTTTTCAAAAAAAATTAATTTTTTGTCCAATAGTTTATAGTTTCTGCATTCCTCTCTACTGCTGTCATACGTTTCCAGCCACATTAACCGAAACTTTGGGTGAAATGCCGCGGCAAGTTGGCACTGTTCATCATTCAGGAGTAGTCCAAATCTTTTCTCTATGCCGTTTAATAAGGCATTGGCTAAAGCTGTGCCGTGCGGTAAATAGTAGGCATTGGATTAACGATTAACGGACTTCTCGCATTTTAACGGAAGTTAACGTGTCCGTTAACATTTTTAAAAGTTAACTTAAAAGTTAATCCGTTAATCAAAATGTTAACTTCGTTAATTAACGATTAACGGATTAACGAGTTAATGCCCAGCTATGCTGCTGATATACCTACAAATGCAGAAACCATGATTGCTACCTTTGCAGATGATACGGGAATTCTAGCTCAACATGACAACCAATTGCTTGCCTCGGAAATTCTACAAAAACATGTAGATGAAGTAGAAAAGTGGATGAAACTATGGAGAATAAAAGTGAATAACTCTAAATCAGTTCATGTTACTTTTACCTTAAGACAAGGTTCATGCCCTCCTGTTAGATTGAATGGTGATTTAGTTCCTGTATCCAATGTTGTTAAATATCTGGGATTACATTTAGATAGAAGATTAACCTGGCATGAACACATTCTTAAGAAGCGTCAGCAGCTTGAATTAACACGTAGGCAACTTAATTGGTTAATGGGCTGGAAATCACAAGTCACAATAGAAAATAAACTACTAATCTACAAAACAATAATTAAACCAATATGGTCCTACGGCCTACAACTATGGGGTGCGGCCAGTAAATCGAATATAACTATTCTACAAAGGTTCCAAAACAAAATTTTGAAAGAAATCGTGAACGCTCCAAAATACGTCCCAAATTGGTTGATTATCAAGATCTCAGAATCCAAACTATTGAAGAAGAAATCAATCTATACTGCGCCAGATATAAAGCTCGTCTAAGTCGTCATCCAAACGTATTAGCATCAAATCTGCTCAAGCCTTTACCACCAAAGCGTCTGAAGAAAAGAATCTGCAATGATTTACTACAAAACATAACTTAACATCTATGAAGGCGCTATCACAGGATAGCGATCCTTCTCACGCCGTCAATTAATATATAACTGTAACAAATGTAGCTGAATGTACTTTGTATAGCTTGCTATGAATAATAAATAAATAAAAAAAAAAAAAATTAATGGCGCAAAATTTGAAATGAAAATTAATGAATTTAATTAATCAATCCTATTATGTTTTGTAATGAGACAATAATAACAAAAATATACTAGATAATATTATAGTTTAATAAATATACAATCAAATCGAAATATAAATCAACAAATACACTGCAATACACCGGTTTATATATAATAGATACCACATCTAATCTACTGGAATAACTTCTACACTTTTTTCTACTTATTAATATAAATATTCAGTGAAATTTAGTGAATAATGCATTATAGTGTTAGTTCATTACATCGTCTGTCATTCTTAACTCTCATTAACTAATAATTATCCCGTGCAAAATTTGACATTCTTAAGCAATTCATTTTTTCCCAAGTATATTCAGATCCGCGTGAAGTGGTAATCCAATTTTAAACAGCTGGAACAGCTTTCTATTTGTGTATTATGTCTTTCTTGTAGAAGCGTATATTTGATTTCTTACACAATTTCCTAGAACTGATCTCTTTCCTTAAAGTGTATTATGATTAGACTAATATGTCAATGCACTACGTAGTAATGTAGTAATTATGTCCTCCATATAAGTTTGAAGCTGTTCTATTCATATTGTCAAAGGGCTATGCATTTGAGAGCAATTCCTGATGAAATCTTTATTAACAAATATACAAACACAAACGAAGAAGAATCGCCATTTTGTAAACTTATACAAAAATAACACTGACGTTTCTTAGTAACCAACATAAAACATTTGAAAATACTTTTTCATCGGCTCACTAGCGCCAAATCTGCGACTACAAATGGACCCCTAAGTATTCCTTCTGAATGAGGATTTTGTTCTAAGTGAAAAGGCCCTGGGTTCTATGGTGTATAACTAATAAACACCGGCTTAGCTTGACAGTTCGATCATTCGTGGTTTTTTGTTTTTGTTTATTGGATTGTAACATGTATTAAATATATAAGAATTCAAGAAACTGTATTTTTTTCTCTCATTGACTTGGTCCAATAAATACTCATTGTAAAAATGTCACAAGCTCAAAAAGCTGAAGACTGTTTTGAAAAAAGTGAAGTAAACACTTCGAATGTGAAGGAGGAAAATCCAGAACAAAATAATGATAATAATTTAAGGGTGATGAATAAAGAACAGCTGGATAACCATATACAAAGTATAAATGCAAAAAAGAGAAATTTATGCAACTTACCATATGAAAAAAAGTTACTGAAATTGGCATTGTATTCAAGATGCAGAGTAAGCAGAAAACAATAATTTATTTAATTTTAAATTAATTCGTTTTCTTAATGATAGCACCAAAATTAGTAATATTATGTATTCAATACAGATAGACCAATGCATATGCACAGGATGGAAATGGCTCAAGGATTATAAGCGAAATCCTAATGGATTACCTAGTAATACAGATTTATGCAGAACATGCATGCACTCTCTAGGTGAATATCCTTATAGCATTTTTAGATTTTAATCTTTTATTTGTGTTTTAAATATTCCGTTTTTGCAGAAAGTCATAATTCTCATTTGAATGGAGTTGCGGAAGAGACATTAAATGATTTATTGAAAGCTACTGTAGATATTGAAAATATGTTTGCTTCGTTAACTAGAGAACAGGATGAAGACACTAAAAAAGTTTATTGCTACTTATTTAAGGTATTTATAAACAATTCAATATCAACTTTATTCTATATCACAAACTGTTTTAGTTTTTAGTTTGTATGTTTTTTTATAAATTGATTTGTTTCAATATTTTCAAGTCCATATTCTTATATATCTCATCTAATATTTGTACTTTATTAAAATTTTTCTCCCAATTTTATCATGAATATGATCTACTCTTAATAAACACTTACTTCTGATTGCATTCTGGTAACATTTTACTATGCAGATGTTAATGCAAAATGGACCTTCACTGCCCTGAAAAATTAAAAAAAGCAAGTTCTCACATTGTTGGGATATTATCAGCTTTTAAATGCAACCTAGAGCTTTGATGAAATTATGACCATTTTTGGTTATTGTAGTCATCTTTTATTAATTTTTTACATTTAAACATCACAATCATATGTTTTGACAAATGCATGTTAACATGATTTTATACAATTGTGGTACATTCATAGCTAATAAACCATAAAAATATATAAACTATTATAATTTGACTTTCCTGACCTCTCAGTGATCCCTGACTGATGAGACATTCAGTTCTAGCTGCAAATTCATTCACTATCACTAATGAAACCTTCTATTCTAACCATTAATTGTCACAATCTCTTATTGACAATACAATGGTTTTACCTTACATTTGATGTCTTTTCTATTTTATCTCTCATGGCACCCATGATGCTTTCCTTTATGATCAGCATAGACTGACTCCCAATTTTCATTTTTCTTTCCTTCTATCCAAAGCTATTCATTGACAACTTCTCAACGCCCTTTTACTCTTCATACTGTTTCTCATTGTACTCATAATCAACGCATTCTTCACTAATGTCTTCTCTAATACACTCATCTTCAAATGTAGCTTTGAATAACATTTTTCGAAAATAATTGCCTTAAATACACTTGCACATTTCATCATGCATTTCCTTTCAATGCACACTTCTCAGATGCATTCTTTGTCAAAGCGTTTTTGACATCGTCATTCTCAGTAAAAGTTACTGTCTCGGCTCATTCCTCAACCATATTTTATCTTTATCTTTACACTTTTTTTCCAATTTAATATGTTCAATACTAGCGGTTTCGTCTTATTGTTCCTTATGGATGAATTCTTCTGTTTCTCTCTGTGAGTGTTTTTGTTCCCATTCGACTTCCTGCAACGCATTATTCATTCCTGCATTTGTCTTCATTCCCTTGTCTCTTACTTCTTTTGTATCTTTCTTTTCCTTTCTGTTATTATTTTCGTCTGCATTATTTTGTTTTACATCATTATCATCTGATACTTAATCCACTTGCTGACTATTACTATCTTCAATAGCCTTTGCAAGTCGATTGGCAATTATTGGTCTAATTTTTTTTTTCATCTTCTTTTGCTTCGAAACTTTCTGTAATTGCACTCGCGCACCATAACCCACACTATTATAAGTTTTCCTATGCATTGTCTCTCATATTTGTGCTTTAGGATACTCCATACATATTTCACTGATTATGCTTTTAACTCATCATATGGCATTTTCAAATTATCTGGTGCGAGGTGTTACATTTTATACATTTCAATGGAATGGGGTTTTACAGTGTTCAACATAAGCTTCAAAATGAGTACTGTTAAGGGTTTCTTGCGTGTAAAATAAGTGAGCTATCATGCAAATTAAAAGGCGCATATAATGTCTTTTTGAAATGGTTGCATGAGTGACATTTCCATCAAAATTAAAATTATTTGCATTCCATCTAGAATTAACTTGGCTTATTTAAATAAATGAATTTAAAAATCCTGAATGTTGTTCTAATTTTCATGGTTTTAATTTAATTATAGTATATACGTGCCTATACATCAACAATGAGCAAACCTACGATAGACCCACCAATATCTAGTCCGCCATTTGAGAATCCGACAATTGAGAAAGCAGTAGAAAATTTTTTACTTATGAAGTAAGTATGTTATACTGATTATGTATATATATATATATATATATATATATATATATATATATATATATATATCTTATATATAAAATTCTTCTGTAACAATGTAAGTTTCATTAATCCTCCTAAACTATAATTCGGATTTTCATGAATCTTCCTGAAGTTTGTTCGGGAAACTTTCTAGAATGTTTTGATTCACAGAAATATAGTTAGATTGTAGAAATAAATGGAAAAAATACAAAAAACCGCTTATCATTGTTTAATCATGCCTTTAAAATATTTAAGGCATGGTTTGACATTAAAAATAAATGACAGCTGACATTTGCCAAACATTTCTATTCACTTATAGGCAATATTAAAATATAATAAATTCATGATTATAAATAAGGAAAATGTAATGTCTACATTATTATTGCCGAAAAGCAGCTGAGATGTGCCAAAAATTAAATTAATATAAGATGCAAATAATATAATGCCGCGTCTCCACTGTACGAATCCGTGCGGCGAATCTGTTCGCAAAGTGCGCAGACAGAAATTTTGCAAGCAAAAACAAACCACGCGCATGTCAAAAACAGCATTCGCCGTGCGCGTTCGTGCAGTGGAGACGGGCCATAACATGTGTTTGACAGTCTGCGCATGGGACTGACGCGCACGGCGAATCGTGTTCTCAACTGCGCGTGGTTTGCTTTTGCTTTCAATAATTTTGTTTGCGCACTTTGCGAACAGATTCGCCGTACGAATTCGTGCAAAGCAGACGAGCCATAAGTGATTGCGCTCAAAAATATTCAATTTGCAGTCGTTTTGCCTTACTATACTAAGTCACAATACAAAAGAATTACTTATTCAAAAAATTATTTAGAAGTTTCATTGTGTCAAAAATTCATATGGTTGGCATTTTGTACGGAATATTTACTCAATGGGTCTGAACTTTTTTTTACTGTTTTCCAATTCGTTTGGAATTTTGGAATTAGGCTCATCTTTATCTCAAGTTCAAAAGTGAAAACAATTTTGACTCCTTTGCACTACCCGGGGGGATGCCATTTCTTTTCAGTGGTGTAATAACGTTGGGTGTAGATAAAACAACTAATTATACGAGAAAAATGTTTAATAATGTTTTTCAAAAAAGCAAATACTTTTCAAGTTACTGGCTACTGAAAATTTGTTTCTTTTTTGCGTTTTTCATCGTTTTTTGCTAATAGCTTCAAAAATATACATTTTAACGAAAATCATGTGATGAACAAAATTATATCAATAAGAATCCTAATAAATCGCTATTTTACAGTGAATAATATTAAGTTAATTATGAAAATGGATTTTTATAGTTCTCCAAATAAGCTTTAAAAGAAGTACTTCTGCGTGTAAAATGAGTGAGCTATCATGCTATTAAAAGACGCATACAATGTTTTTTTTTCATTTAAATCAAATAGTTTATGAGTGCCATTTCCACCAAAATTAAAAATAATCGTTTTCCATCTAGAATTAACTTGGTTTGAGATATCTTGATGGATTCTAGAAAATACCATAACATTAGTACAAACGATTATCAAAAAACTCATGATTTCATAAAAAAATCCATTAAAAAAAAACAATTTCTCATTATAATATCTCTGAAAAAATACGTATAAAAGTATATATATATAAAAATTCAAGGTATTTTTTAGACTAATTATTGCTTTTTATTATTTTTTTGTTACACAAATATTGAGAGAGTTATGATTGTTTAAAGAGTGCGCGGCTGTCCAACCGGAGTGTCTTTCGACCCCTTTGACCCTTCGCCGTTTCAAAATAAGAGAAGTTACGGTAAAATTTATGATAGAGAAAGTTATAGCTCATTTAATCACCTTTAAAATAGTATATTACAAGTTATGATAAAATTAGAATTAAAAGAGCTGGGCAAACGCTTTTTTCCTCTCCATTTATTGCAATAATTTTGTTGATAGTAGGTTGAATAGAGCATATGTGAACAAAATTTGACAAATTAATTCACTTCAAATATGAACTTAAGTAATAATGTATATTGAATTATTAGTGTGAAAAATGCAATTTAGATATTAAAATACTAAAAGCCAGTTAAAATATGGTACGAAATTATAAAATTTGTAGGCAACATTATTGAAGCAATTATTTTGGGTAGAAAAATCCGAAGTGATATTGTACCTTGACCGCATGCTATATATTAATTCTTTCTGAATTTGTTACACTTTTTAAAAGATTTCAATTTTCAACACGTGTATCTATGCTATGACAATAAATACATGGTGATAAATTTGGAAAATCAATGTTTTAGCCGTGAATAAACAAAAAATCGTTCATTTAAACATCCACATCTACAGGAATGTCTAAAAATATTGTATAACCCTTAAATTCAATAAAATAAATTGAGCTATTGGAAATAAATTTGTTCTATAAATCGCAGTGTATAATTTTTAATATATAATTTTATTGAACATATTTTAATATTTGTTAAAGAGATAATTGTTAACTGTGGGAATTGAGAATAATCTTTTTATTTGAAACAGTACTACATTTAACATCACTCATATATTGGTGTAAATAGTAACTCGAAAAACAATAATGATTATTTTTAACTGAACGGTATAAATATTAGTATAGAATATTAAAAAAACGTAGAGGTGGGTACAGGACAGCGTCTGTCGGGTCATCTAGTATATATATATATATATATATATATATATATATATATATATATATATATTGAAGAGATATTAATTATTGGTTCTTTTCTTGATATATAAAAACAAACACTCTTTAAGATTTGATTGATTTTATTTTAAATTGTAACTTACATTATTGGGTGTTAATATTTTTAATCTGTCCTTGTTGGCGGTTCAAACATAACTAACTCCCGCTCAATAATAATCAGTTTTTATCTGATTCGACCCTTATTGTCGGATAAGGGTCGATTTATAAAAGTTTTATATAAATGGTATTAACTAGGGAATGCAATACCGATGGAAAATTTCAATACCGGTATTTCGGTAATTTTTCATTTTAAAACCGGAATACCGGTAAATTACCGGTATTTTTATTATCTTAAACAAACGTAAACAAAATTGAAAGTTACTAGTACAAATATAAAAAAATGTATGTATATATATATATATATATATATATATATATATTCAACTAAACAATAAAATAAAACAATAAGTTTATTTTTTTAAATAATAATTTAACAAAATTATATCCAATATAAATGGATAATTAATTCATTATTACTATCGAGTATATTGAGAACTTTTCACCAAAAACAAACTTATGAGTAAGAAAGACCAAAAACTCATAAAGATCATATTACATTATTATAATAAACTGTATTGTCTGTATCCGATATGTTAAATTAGCATAATCTCCAATATTTTAAAAAAATAATTTTTCTACACTAATTTAAGATAGTGTCGAGATAAATAATAAGTTACTATAATTGTTGAGTATTGTTATTTAAAACAATGTGATGCTTCTATAGTATTTTCAAACTTCGAAACGTTGTCGAAAAATATTTTATAATTGTAATAAGAAGCAAAAATATTTAGTAATTATCATAATTATTATGTATAAAGTTAAAAAAAGTTACGCAGGGGTAATCTGTATGATATAAAATATTTTAGCGCTAATGTCACTCAAAAAACCGTTACATTTTTACATAAGATCAAACAAACATCATTATATATCAGTCCAATTCTATTTATTGTAACACGATATGAAGTCCTTAGTAAAGCAATAAATATTCAGTTTAATGACGAGTTGAGATAATATTTGACATTTGTTTATCCTATAGAATTACTTGAAGATATAGCTGTTCATGCGATTATGGAATTTAAAGATAAATTTGTTCCGAGAAATTTAAACTTTAGTACATTATGTATGAAATAGCGCTTATGTAAAAATACCGAAAATACCGGTATTTTTGGGGTAAATACCAGTAAAAATACCGCCGAAAAATTGGACAGTTTACCGGTAAACCGGTATTGAATTCCCTAGTACCAACATACAAGATTAAATTACAAACATATTTTAATGAAAATGTGTTAAACATAAAATATTATAATAAATACATAATAGTACTTAACACCTCCCTTGCAAGAATTATACAAAGAAATTATTATACAAAGAAAAATTAATTTTACCACTTTAAAATACAAAATATTTATTAAAATATTAAAATATTATAAACATTTACAATAATATCAAAGATTTATATATGAAAAATTTTATTAAATTATTTATGAAATTTAAACTTAGCATTACTATTTACACTTATTATATGATTATTATTATTGATGCACATATCCTATGATTGCTTCATTTATTATATTTTCTGACTGTTTGATAAAGATTGCGAAAATCAGGGGTCTTTTAATCATTTTCTGTGAATTTTTTTAGTTTATTATTATGGACTTGTACGGGCTTATTATGAACTAAAATTGTACTATTAATATTACCGGATTTTAAAATTTTAAAAGGCCTTTTCCATAATGGTAGAAGATTTTTACATCTCCGCGGATATGGAGTTTCATCTCTTAGAAGAACAAAATCATCAACTTCGAAAGTTTGTAGATTTATATTTTGATCACAATGTGATTTAGTTTGTTCCTTACTATGTATTAAATTTTCACGAGCAAGTTTGTTAGCATGTATCAATCTGGATTTCAATTCATGAACATAAGTGTCGTAATTATATTGATAATAATTGTTGAATTTTGTTAAAGACAAAGGTAACTCTATTTTTCTACCAAATAACAATTCGAAAGGCGTGTAGTTGGTTGCGTCATGAATAGTGGTGTTATGAGTGAAAACGGCATACTTAATGCATCTATCCCAATCGGTTTGAGTTTTATTAATATATGTTCTTAAATTTTGTACATAATGCATATGTATCCTTTCGCATGAGCCATTTGACTCTGGTCTATATGGAGAAGTTATTATTTTTTTTTATTTTTAATAATTTGCAAACATCTTTAAATAAGTTGCTGGTGAACGTAGTT